TTGACATAGCTTAGTAAGTTAAATTTATGCAGAGAAACTATAAGATGAGTATAAGAGTAAATCTATAATTTATTCCGAATTGATGGCTTTTATGATCAGTGAATCGAGTTTGCATGGCATATGCAAGAGATGACCGCTGCACCATCGACAGTATCTGTAACACGGCGAGTTGACCTATGACCTAAGTACATTAACAACACATATTGAAAACTATACAAGTCATTGAACTTAGAAACGAACCAAAGATTCTGCCGGCATATCTCTAAAAGAAGATTTAAAGGGTGGTAGTCGTCGCGCCACGCATGCGCGAGATATATGGGTCTCATATAAACAAAGATGGCGACTTTGCCTATTGCGCAGAACAACTTGAACGAGTACAAACTGAGACGTTACTAAACTTTAATTAGTTTTTTTTTAGGTGATTGGAAGGTATAGAAGGAGTCACTGGCGGTAATTAGTGCAAGTTGTGCTCAGGTCAAACCTCCTATTTGTGATTTTCATTAGAAGAACGATTTCGATTGTGGGAAAATCAATATTTATCAAGACAAATGTTGCACACGCGCGACGACCATTGCGCTTTAAGATTTGAATTCAATATTAAAATAGTTGTCTTGGCATTATGTTTAGGGCTTGGGTTGACATAGAGCACTATATCTACCTAACCCATGGCCATTACCATAATCCTAATGCCAACTTGAAGTCGCCGTTTTATATTAGTTGGCCATATCTTAAATCCCAAGTCTTCAATTCTCTAATCTAATTTTATGGATTGTCCATTTTGCCTTTATTATTTTGGGAAGTGTAATTACTGTTGAGTGAATAGCGACATGCTCGCTGATCATGTGCATGTTTGCGTTATGTATATGATTAGTGGCGGGGCGCTTCTACTATGAAATGAATTACAGTATACGAAGGCCGTTCAAAACGTCGATATCGTTTTGACACGTAGTCGCCCATCAATGATTATTACGTCTTTGGGAGATTTTACAATAGTTTATACGACGAACATCTACACAACCGAACACAGTAATTGATTTGAACGTCATTGCCCTCATATACGTCATTTTGACGTCACGTTAGCGCTCCGCCGCTAGAGGGCACAATTGATAGACATTCCAATCTAGATTAGCAAATTACAAATAATTCAATATATCAACACTAATGTTCAAAGACGCGTTTGTTAACGTATAGTCATGTTTCACTTGCCGTCTTCCGGTTATCAGACCTCTTAGGCATTGTTAATTGGCTGGTGTGAATCCAATATATTAAATCTACTTCATATAGGAGAACATGGACGGAGGTCTCCATATTGAGTACAAGTCTGTCGTCTAGAAAGCAGTGCGGCAACTTTGCTGTTCTGTCGCCACTATATTGAGTTATCTGCATGGTCCTAGGAATTAGCAATTTTACAACACACTCCCGCTGTTGAGCAATACACGTTTTCTAATTTTGCATAATTGTCATTTTTGTCAGGAATGCAAAAAGATTATCCATGAATTCACGTGAAATAAAATATTACCACAGTGACGTAATCAAGTGAAATCCAAATAAAATATTGACAGATTGAAAGTTTACTGATGACGTCATTGACTAGCCCTCTAGAGGCCAAATTACGCCAGGCTAAGCGGACGTTTGTCGTCTACTTCACATCCCGTTTTATACTCGATATTTAGGGCATTTCGTTTCGTTTTCGCATACAAGTTGTTTTTATCGCCAGAATGTATTCATATATCTCAAATTTTATGTACAGGGTGACAAAAGCCAAACCTCTGCTCCCCTTTAAATGTGGAATTTGGAATTACAGTGAACAAATTGGAAGTTTGAAATTCAGGTGCTTGCAATCAATGGGTCGTGAAATCATAAACTTTACTTTGATCAGTTGGCTTTATAACATTTACAAGTGACAAGTAGAGAGACAGCTCATTGAGATTGAGTGGGCTGAATAAATAGGTTGAACGTAAACGCTATTAGCATAAAACTGTATTTTCATCAGCCATAGCGGAAAACGGTTCTGTTACTTCCTTCATGTCGTTTTCCTTGACCCCGATACTACGCAATGCTAGTAATTTAGTCATTTAGTATGAGTGCTTAGGACGTTTATTCAGTGAATCATGAGTGTGATGTCATTAGAAGGCGCAAAATTGGTGTGATACAAAAACAAATTCGTCGACATGCGGTTGGGATTTACTAGTACTACACGTGTAGTTTTTAACGAGCATGCGCAGTGATGGCAAACAAATAATTCAGGTCACGCCAGTATAAGTATTTTGACGGATGGGCCGTCAAATATGAGGGTCATATTTACTCAGGGTCAAAGGGTCCACGGGTTCCAACTGTGAACATTAGTGTTATTTTTAGTAGTATCACGAGTTCCCATAACAACGACAATCGCGTGTTTAGCTCGGATATCTAGATATACTAGTTTCATTGATGTTTTTTTTTTCAACTAATACACCAACATCGATGACGCAACACTTCCATCAATATGTAAACCGTGATCTATGTGTATAAACTCGTGCGTGGAATAAACCCTAAATTGCAAAAAAAATATCTGCCATCAATAAAAATTTGTTCAAACATTTTGAGAGGAAAGGCTCTAAATTTAATTATTATCGAAGCGAATCTATTAAAGTCATAAAATCGAATCTTTGTGATTTATCGCATATTGGATAAATAGTTAATTCCATAGACCAATAATGTGTAACGAAGGAAGGTCAACTTAAAGTCTCACACACGCAGTGCGGCGATGGGATTCACACGTTTTATAATACATGTATGTATATCGGTGTCGGATTCATGATTGATAGAACTGAATTTAAATTTTACCAACATTGTGTAAGCCATATCCTCGGTCCGGGACTCAATAGAAAGGTCAAATCCACTAGGTCGAGGCTCATCCACTGACGAATGCGACGTGCTTCCTTACTCCCTCCGGGCAGAAACAGAATGAAATTATGTAAATTATGAGTTTGCAATAAAGGGGTCGTGAAATTGTTACCGCTGATTGGAGCCATCTGTATAAACATGTCAATTGTTTTTTTTAAACATCGTTTTTCAATTTTTAATTTTTTACTTCAAATACCATCAAGTTGCGCCCTCCGCGGTGCTCCTAACCCAACAGTGGGGTTCGTGGGGTCTGATGCCGTTCGGCCGGTGAGGGCGCCGGTCACGCCAACATGTCAGGCTACATCAAGTCATTGATACATTTTAATCAAATGCTGCCATAAAATTCACCATAGAAACAAAAAAAGAAGATATGACAAAAGGGGAAAATACTAAAGTAAACGTCAAAAATAACTCAATATATTAGTTGTAAATTGGTGTGCGAATGAAAAGTTATTGTTGTTATCACTATGTTCAACTTCTCTATGAAGTTATCCTTGTTTATTTTTTTTTTCTGCTTCGTTAGTAAATCGACAGCCAAATAATATATACTTTCAACTGAGTGATAATGGATTTATTAAATTAGATTTTTTGACAAAGCCAAAAATAACAGTTTTACTGACAAATTCCAACAAATAACTCTTTTCCATGAATCGCAAAATGAATTCAAATGAGTTTCAAACAGAGAGGTTTTCCTCAACCGTAAAGAACGTTACTAAAATTGAGTTGATTGACCAGGCTCCTCTAACCTTTGTGCATGGAGCATGCATGGTGGTGATTACCGCAGGATGGAACTCCTGTTGTGAAACATATGCAGACGTTGGTGTGATCCTCGGCGGAGTTTGTGGGTGGAGCTAGTCCAGTAGTTTTCCTATGAAATTAGTGTTCATGACAACGACTCGTGATTTATAAAAACAGGAACTGTATATAATTTCAAGTGTGTTTGAGCATATCTAAATAACTTTGTTTGAAAGTGATTTATCGTAAAAAATGTTGCATCATTGCTTAAGTTCGCATTACTAGTATATTAATGGGTCTTGTGCATGCGCGTTTCGAGTTTTCATTATTTCAACGATTTCATGTGTCATTTGTTTGTTTTTTTTTACTTTAAAATAAATTATGTTCTACTATTTTTATTATTATAAGATACGGTATCAAATACAATTATTTAGAAACTATCCATATTGCCTGTTTAATATATCACTTGGTTTGCAATGGAGTCATATATAGATAGAGGTAACTATGTTAAAAAACCTGGGTATCATGTCGTATCTCAGTTTCACTATGCACATTGATATTATTGTTATCAACGCTTTAGGATGCATTGTTTCGTTAAGGTAGAGAGAAGGTTTTGTGACGTTTTTAAATAAAACAAAGCAAATTTGACGCTAATTGAAGGGTCGTCGTACAATCCAATCACCGGCGTCGATTCACATAGTTTTTTGTGCTGTGACAGGCTTCAAAATTATTCGCTGAAAAACATATATTTTGACAAACTGATGGAATTTGATCTTAGTTCAAAAAGAAAATACTAGGCTAAGATACATTAGAGTTCACGCGAATCAGTTTTCTCTGCACGTTGTGAAATAAAGTAAACCAGAGTAGCGTCGATGATTTTCAGCCCTGAAGGACTTCCGTGTGAATCCTGAGTTTTGAATTGTTCATCGACTGGCCACCAAATAGTTATGGCTATAACTAAATTTGACACGTTTTCTTTTAAGCCCAATAAATTATTCATACATGTCAAGCTCTGTTCGATTTTTTCAGGGCATGTGGCCGTTTTTAGTCGAAAATATTTTTTGTGGGAACACTTTTGCGGTACGTACACGGTATGACCGAGCTCATTCAATGATCGTGACTTAATTTTAAAAAATTAATGTCAAATTTTACCAGACGTGG